CTTTACCATCAAAAACTGACACAACAGGGCTTCCCTCAATACGTCGAACTATGACGTCAAAGGGATCGCTAGTGCGTCACAAACTGACGACTATGGCTCTTGACAAAGCGTCCATATGTGACGACTTGGGAGTGAGACCGGGTTGTGCAGGGCCACACATAGACAGACAACCACTCACGCCTAAGGACAATTTAGGGTGTGGTGTCCAAACAAAAATGCTGCGATGATGTGTTGAGAAGAAATCCGCTTGACACTGTTCTTGATCATAAACGTTTATTACATCAAGGAGGTCAGCATCAATTACAAGTTCTGCAGCAGCTTGGAGAGTGACCCAGCCCGATGACCACTCAGTCTTTCTGTACATCAAACATAGCTTATATAGGACATGTTTTTATGTATCTGTTAGACACCATATAAGGGTTTGAGTCTGCAAAATAAAGCTCCAACCCATAGAAGGGTACAGAACTATTCTGAGGTAACAAAATAAGGCGTAAGAGGTCAAATTCTATAGAAGGTTTAAGTCCCTACATAACCACCAATCACTACTCTCCCCTTAGGAGGTCACTGACACTCTGTCCTGCTGCTTCTGTGCCATTTTAAACTGTTATGAGTCAAATGCACATATATTGTACACTACAAGGGACACCAATCAATCTAGGCCGCATGTCTTTGGACGGTGGGAGGAAGCCGGAGCACCCAGAGAGAAACCACGCAGACACGGGGAGAACATGCAAACTCCACACAGAAAAGCAGGGGTAACCGGGGTTTGAACCCACCTTCTTGCTGTGAGACGACAGTGCTAACCACTGCACCACCTGTTTGTTATTATAAAGATAGCAATTATAAAGAGAAATAATAGGCCCCTATGGGTGAAATAATGGATTAGCACAGGCAGGTACCAGGGATTGTCTGAGCTACAGAGAGAGCTGGAGGTGAGCAAAAAGTGTTTTGCAGAGAAAAAGTAGCTGCCTGCTCTCATTGGCTGGATGTGAATATAGAGTCAGCCGACTCCTCCAGATATTTGGCATGCTAGATATCTGGCATTAGTCGGCGATGTGTCAGGAAGCCGTTTTGATGACCCAACGCTGATTTACTCTCGAGCCCGACGGTCGCCAAGCTCACCAAGCGGCAAATAGGGCTAAAAATCATGTAGTGTGAACTAGGCTTAAGATCCAAACACAATGCCAGCCAGACTACGTCCAGATGCTCCGGCAGATCCCGTCACATTCTGACACCCACACCTTCCACTGTGAAGGGAGCCTTCAAGGCATATTTATATTCTAAAAATATATTTTTAAAAAATCATAGTTTCTAATTTTATTTTTATTTATGTTGGTTTTGTGTTGTAGAAGGGGTGGCTGTCATGCACCCATATCCTGCTGAAGTGCACACACAGCTTGTATTATGATTTGATTATTTGTAAGGAGGATTTGGATTTTTCTTAAGAAATGAGCGGTTTGTTTTGGTGATAACTCTCATCCTACATGGCTTCCCCCGGTACGTTGAACTATGACGCCAAGGGGCTTCCCAGTGCATTACAAACTGACACTGCCAAGGGACCTTGCCTATGCATCCATATGTGACAACTTGGGAGTGAGAACGAATTGGAGGGTCATGCATTTTCCCCCAGTCACTCAGGGAGGAGCAAGGAAAAAAATGTATAGCTTTGGGGAGGGTTAAGATTTTAAAAAATCACACACCCCCATCCCCCACTGCACCTGATAAATAAACAACAGTCCTTTAGAGAAATGGACAAAGAGTTGTGCAAATTCATCAAGCAATAAGATATACAAACGTTGTAAACCAGTTGGACACCATCCGAGCGCAACATGTAAGAGACTTTTTGCAAAACTGATCACTTCAAATTACATTTGAGACATAGAAGCAAACAGCTGGTCACAGTGAAGAGAAGAAGATTTGATAATGAATGCAATTTGCGACTAAACCTCCATCTGCACACAAGGTTTGTAACAGTGTGCATAAAAACACTCATGCAAGTATTTTCCATCAAGTTAAAAACCTCAGGACTAGCTAAACTATTTCTAAGATAGAGCCCAAGAGTTTCACATCACTAATTTATGAAACGTGGGACATTCACAATTGAGTTTCAGAATAACTACACTGAGCTGGAAAAGCATTTTACAAGGTAAAAAATGAATGTGAGGGAATATTGTACAGTGTGTGTTACTCACCGGTCACATGTGGACTTGTCGTAGTCGAAGAGTTTTTGTCATTGGTGGTGTTGGATCCAGCTGAAAAGTTCAATAACAAAAAACGTATTTTCAGCATCATTAGACTAGTATATGTTTGCAAGGCTAATACCACATATTGTTTCAGCCAGTTTCTCCCCCAATGCTAAACAGATGTTGTGGATCAAAATGCTTATATATTACTTATAATTATAAATACTTACGTAGAGCTTGAAAGTAAAACATTTAAATGTTATATTTTAACATTGACATACTTCTTATAGCTTCAAAAGATAGAAATATCATTATTTTAAGAAGATTCAGTAAAGTATTGCACTGTACCTGTCACAGAGAACAGCAGAGGGGCCCAGATGAGCACAAACATCCTAATTCACTGATTGAGAGAGTCAGTCTCTTTATCCAAAAGACAAAATTTAACCTTTCAGAAGTGCAAACATTTCATGTAGCAAGTGCAACAATCATACAGGGTGTTCATTTAATGAAACTGACTCCTTCACGGCTGACAGCAAATATTTAAATACAGGATGTTGCATGTTCACCTTCTCTGTTGTCACATTAATAAATGTTCCTAAAATCTTTGTCAAGTTTTTGAAGTCTCCTGGAATGCTTAATTTCAAAGAGTTTTGTGATATTTGTTCCAGAAAGCTGCTAAATATACTTACATTATCTACAGTAAAATATCTGTAGCAGCTCAGAAACAGCTCTGAAATAAATACCTACAATCCCCGAAACCCCAGACATTCAGACTGCATGCACAATTAAAAAGCATTTTATGACATTAGGGAAGAATTACTTCTACAGTTTTCATTTACATTTTAAAAGATTTTGAAAACAAGGTAAATGTTATGTTTTACCTGTGTTTTGTCCCTTGTTCTCCTGTGCTATTGTGTCTCAGTGATGTCTGCTGTGTGTCTCTGTTCTAAACTGACTCTTCCTCTCTTTTTCTTCTTCTTCCCTTTTTGCACTACAAGTTTCCAGGAAGTTTCTCTACACGCTGTTTGTTGTTGTTACTCTAAACTACAATATCATGTAATGTCTTAAGTTGGAAATGTGCATCATCATCTTCATGACTGTATATGTGTTTAAAAATATCTTGTCACTTTGATAAAATTCTAACTATTCTGTCTACCAAGTATCCTAAATATGAATGCATAATTCATTATATGCATAGTGGTATAGTGGGATGTGCATGAATGTGAATGGTCTGAAATACAGGTTAATATCTGCAGTACCAGTTAAATAATAATGGTCAATTGTCAAAGACAGTCATTAGCTTAATCACTAGTTTATACATGAGAAAGATAACTGCTGTCATTGATTAAGTGCAGATTTATAAAGAAAGTATTTGTATTCATCACAGTTCTTAAGTACAGTTACATGCAGCCTCTTAAAAAGAACCTCTGTACTTATCGCCATATGGTTTTATGATTTGTGCATCTTTAAGTTGCATTCTCAGAAATGGCCCTTGAGTGATTCTTCATTTAAACATTGTCTCATATAGCGTTAATGTATTCTCTCTAATAACTTCCTGTTCACACATAAAGGTGTTTTAGCTATGAACTGGGCTATTATTACATATTTAACATTCACTACAGAACCTGTCAACATTGCACAATGAACCAGAGGTAAGAAAAGTTTTGTTTTAAGTGACAACTCATGTATTGTCTGTTAAAAAACAACCTGTGCCAGACTGCTCACTCTGAGTAATGAGTCAGGTTGATTCCTGCAACACATTAAAAAAGGGAAGTAATCTATGACATGTTAAACAAGACACAATCAAAAGAGCTGTAGAAACAAATCAGGCCAATCAGTTTGAAACAACTTAAAAAGCTAAAACAACTCAAGCACGGTGTACTGATCTGTAATTTGTTATTTATCGATTCTTTTTTATTTAATATACAGATGAATACCAACATAAATTCACACTTGTTTAACGTACATAAAAACTGGTAAATTGCAATTGTTCCTTCCGTTCATACTGTATCTGTATGGATCCTATTGTCATGCATTTCCACTATAAGATATGAGGGACAAACTCTACAGTCGTCATGGTGTCAAAAGATACATCCCAAAGTTCAGTTTGCAATAATAATAGGCTTCAGCAGTCTGAGTTAGGTAACTGCTAATCAGCAAGAAAACAATGTCCATAGAAACACAAGGAGAGAGTTTCGTGCTACAGAAACTAACTTTGCAAGACACTTGATTTGTCTCTACTCAGTTCTGCCAAAGCCTCATAATATGTGTGGTTGTCCTCCATCTCTAACACTGTACTTTTGTGCATGTGAAAATTGCACTGAGAAGTTAAAAAAAGTGTCAACCTATCCTTTGAATTTGTTTGCTGCAGACTGCAAACTGAAGCAAGACAAATCATACAGCCACCCTCTCAGGGAAACTACAGCTGTGCTTCAAGCTAAAATGCTAACATTAGCCTGCTAACATGCTCACAATAACATACTGATGTTAACCATGTGAAATGTTACTATGTTCACAATCTTGGAAGTATTTGGCCATAAACTGTTGGAAAAACAAATTTTTATCTGTGGTGCAAGATAAAAAGTTACAGGATCACCAAAGTTATTACATCAACACAAATGTCACCCTCACAGTGGAGTAGGAGGAAAGTCCTCTGGAATGGGAACCATATTTTTAAATGTCATCAAATAGTTGTTGCTATATTTAGTCTGGACCAAAGAGGTGGGCCAACATTTATTACCCACAACAAATAACCACTCCACCGCACCACAAGAGCACATACTTATTTGTTCTGCTTAAAAACTCCCCCACAAAGTACACATCACCTCTCAGAGCAGAGAGGACAGAGGTGGTTGCCCCTGCACACCACTGGCACTGTAAGCCTTTTCACGGATGTGGTAACATTTATCTGGAAGGTTTATGAAAAGTGAACACATAGAAGCAAAATAACATTTGGATAAAATGGAAATTCTGTCCAACTTTCAGTCCACCCTCATTTGAATGAATAGATTTGAACAGCCCCTAACATGTAGACAGTGTGAAGTCTCTCTCTCACTTCAGATTCTCACAGACTGAATTTAGCATTCGAAGATCACAGCTTGTGGTAGAAACAGTTCACAAGACTGCCATTCATTCACCAGAATAACAATCCATGAGTCCATTACTTCAATCCGTTACATCTGATGAGAGCAAAGAAACATTACTCCACAATCCAACAGTCTTTAAATCTCACCCATTATATCCTTCACGTTGGAGTACACCGCCACGTCCTCGTCTTCTGAGACACAATGTTTTGACTCCTCATCCTCCACTATCATCGCCTCCTCCTCTTTTTCCTCAAATAATTCACCTTCCTCTCTGTCGTCGTCTTCTCTGTCCTCTTTTACTTGCTTCTTAATTTCAGCGTATTCTGTCTCGGTGGTCTCTTGCTTCTTTGTTGCCTCCCTGGGACTCTTTCTTTTCAACACAGAGAAATTAATGCTGGCGTACTCCACATCTTTTGCTCCACCATCAAGATCAGGGGCTGCTTTTCTGCTGTTACATCTTCTCCTACTTCAGCTGCCTCTTGGTAGTAGGTCAGGTCATCTTCCAGTGCTTGACAAGGATCTATCTGTGAGGTACAATGGAAATGATATGACTCATTCCGCAGCTGCTACAAGCACCAAAACTGTGAGTAATAAACTGGGAGACTGTGGTATGTAAAGTACTGCCAACCATTTTCATGAAGTCATTACATAAATCTTGTAATGTTTGGGTATTGGTTGTTTCTATACTCTTTAAAACATTTTGAAACACTGTTATCCATCATCATGTGTTTCTACTTTTATTATAGTAAGTTTACAGTTACATGTAAGTGGAAATTCAGTGCAGTCTTTTTACATCAGTTTGTACATACAACTGCACTGCAGAGGAACAAAAGGGGACCTGACTATTAAAGCAGGCAGGGTGTTGACTTTGAAAGGATTACCATATCTCAAGTTTGCAAGGCTGCAAGTGTTAACAAGTTGTACTTCATGCTGTAGGGAAATTAATTGAGTTGAGGCAGAGCACACAAGTTGTGCTTGTTTGAGTTGCCTGGCAATGGTTGCTTCATTCATGCTTCACCATAAGCTGCTTAGCCACGAGATGACTAGGAATGGCCTGAATGTGCAGAATCTTTTCTGCTAAATCTAACTGTATCATTCTTTGCTATTCATGGTCAATTAATCAAATAACGTATGTATGACAGCCACATTCACACATCTACTGTATAACACAACATTTAATATCGGGGGAAATACTGAAAAAAAGTAAATGAATTTAAATATAAATACCAAAGGATCCTCTTGACTAGTCACCATCTGCAGAGTCTCATCCAGATTTACAGAGCTCAGTTTCTTTCTGGGTAGAAAACAAACAAATAAACTATTTAAATGAATATAATTATCCACAAATAAAACCAGGGGATAATTATAGATTATCTGGTGTACCTTTGGCATTTCTTTGCCAAAGAGCAAAGGGCTGCTGAAAAGAGTACCCAATCAAAAAGGCAATGACGATTTTCAGCCATGAAACCATTTTTAAGAGTTTGCTGGATTGATCTGCAATCAAGAGCAACAAAATAAATCTTGGTGTCCATCTTGTTCAACAATAATATATTTGCAATAGCTTATTTCTTGTGGGACAAAGGTCACAGTAATTAGTGAGAGGAAAGGCAATGGTCTGCATAGCAGAAGTGTTTTAGTTGAGGAAACGTACCCTCTTGTTCGGATGCGTTTATTCGGATGGTGAAGTTCTCTTTTGCCTCTCTGCTTGCCTCATTGCTGCTGACACA